TGTAAATTTTAGACTCATAGTGTAGCTGGGGATGTTTGGTCTTCACAGACTCCTACAAACAAGATCACATGTACTTTAATAAGAGAGGAAAATAGTGAAATGTATTAGATAAATTACATATATTGGCAAGTCGATGTTCAAGGTTCCAAAAAATTTCACCAACGCTTTTAAGAAAAAGACAAGGAGGTTGAAACTTCGAAAAGAAGGACAACGAGTTCAAAGTTTTTGTAATTTTGGGGAATTTTTGAATATAATTTAAATTTAGCTTAAAGTTGCAATGAGAAGAAGAAAGAGGAAGTTGTACAAAAGAGAGCCACCATTTTTTCTCTAAACAAAATGGCATTAAGTAGTATGAAATCACCCATCATGGAATCTACCACAAAATGAAAGCTTGAGAAAAGGATAGGGAAAAAGTGGTGCAAGGAAAATCACTGAAAGAACTAACTTATTTGCGGTTAAGGAATTTCATTAGGACCGTTAAGGGAAAAACTAAAAATACTGATTCAGCAAAATATAAGTAGGAATGGACTGAGATCATACTAGACAACCAAGAGCAAGACATTTGAATTAACCATACAAAAAAAAAATACTAAGAGTGAGAGGGAAGTAAAGCATATGAACCATAGTATTTCCCCTCATCAATATAACCATAATGGCTACAGTTTGTACTACTTAAGAATGGAGACCATATAGGAACAAGGATATTGACTCATAGAGAATTTAGGATTGATTACACACTCATCCCTAAACTGAGTGATTGCAATAAACCTAGAAATAAAAATATTCAAATTCCTCTAATCAAGTTTATTGCTTTCACTCTAAACTGATATAACACACTATTATGTGTGAGCCTAATCGAAATGCCAATGTCTCTTGTTTAGCTATCTAATTTCTTGTCATCGGTTCCAAAAGACAAAAGACTACAAACGGAGAATCATAGAGCCTTAATTATGCAATCTAAAAATTTCACATCTCCACTATAGATTTATTTCATTTCCAAGAAAAACCAGTAAGATGTAAAAGATCGAAGATTTCTTGAAATGGAAATGAAACACCAATGTCATTACAAACAACCATCAAAGATTTTGCCATTCACATTTCAATTAACAAAAAAATCCACATTAATGAAAACAATAAACTTAGAAAGGATAATGTAAAAAAAATTAAGTTTGGTGTTCAAAATTCTCATTACCAGCTTCACACCAACTTCTTCTCCTGTCTGGACATTGACAGCTACACAAAATAAAGGCAGAGAATTTTCCATTACAACAATAAAGGAAAAAAATGATTCCCCAAATGACATTTGAAGAAACAAAGAAGAATAATCAGGAGAAGCATATGCTCACCAATGTATAACTCCCCAAAAGATCCACTACCGATCTTCCGACCGAGTTTGAATTTCCCACCGACAAGATGATCCATCGCTCGTCAAGACTCTAGTTCATAGCTCTTCCTCCCAAATATTGAGGAAATATACAAAAATGATTTAAATTTTGAAAGTCATCTCTATGATTCTATAACAAAATTGTTTCAAAAAAAAGGAAATCCCCTGTTTAACTTTAGTTTTTTTTTACTTTTGATATTCAATCCAAAAATTCATAATGAACCCCACAATCAGCAACCGAATTGGATGATTGCCGAGGAAAAACAACAATAAGGAATAAGAATTCAGAGGTACAACAACAACAACGAATAAGAATTCAGAAAGCTTCTTAAAAAAAGAATTCAGAAAGCTCGGACCCTTGTCGGGATTAAAATGCAGAGAGACCAAGATCAAAGGATAAGATAGCAACGACGCACAATATCATGGTTTAACTGCATTAGAATCAATTTACACCATCGCCGAGCTCCAAAATTATCTGAAAGAATTCGAACCAAAAGGAGAGAAGATGGTGGAGTATATTATCAAAATCAGGGACAAAAATTTTGCGAGATGAAGAAAGAGAGAGGTAGAGGGGGGAGCAGAGAATTCCCAGAAAATAAATTGGCTCCCGAGAAAGAATTTTGTTTTCCCCCCTTTTTTCATCTGCACATTTTTTCTCAATTGGAGAGAGAGAGAGAGAGAAAGAAGGGGGAATAATGAAGCGGTTCCTTCAGATAGTTCAAAACCTTGTAATTTTCACCCTTTTTTGTGTTTATTTTCAGTGGTTGCCTGCATTTCATTCTTTATCTTTCAACTTATCTATCTCCTCTTTTTTGTCCCTGCTACTAATGACTAACAATTCCGCAAATATTTTACACACTTGTCTTCTTCTGATGCTATGGGTTTTTATTTAGATTTTGAACTTTCACCTACTTTTCAAAATCCTTATTGATGGAATTATTGGTCTTTGTTATATTTTTTCACATTTTGTTGTGTTTACAAATATGAACTAACAAAACTTTATTACATTAGTGCTATTCGCTTCAATTTTTTTATTGCATATTAATCACAGGTTGTCACCCCAACCCCCGGGGGTTGATTGGTCAGAAAAACCACTTATGTTAAAGGAATTAAAAAGCACTCGAACGGTCTGAACAAGAGCAACCAGAATTTAAAGCACCCAAAAAATTGTTCCCAACCTGAATCAGACTACAAGCATGACTCAATCTCTATAAACTTCAAAAAATACCTAAGGTCTCGGGCAAAAAGATATTGGAGGTTCACAATGGCCGCCTTTGAGATAGACTCGCCTAATGGACCGCACAACCCAATCATCCCAACCTAAGTCACTAAGGGTGTGACTTGCCCATTTGACATTGAAAGACACTTGACAATAATGAATAGCCCTAATTGCCCAAGGGATAAGAGCGTGTGGTGACAAACAACTCTTCCATCAAGTTGTGTATAGTAAATTCCCCACTCCCAGCAGTCGCCTTGTAGACAAACTTGTTTTCCATAAGCTACAATTCATTTTATGTTGTAGTTTTAACATAAATATAATTATAAACGACCACGGGCTACCCCTTATCCCAACCATATTCTAAAGAGTTTGTTACCTTTCTGACTTGTTTCTTCTAATTTACTTTGAGGATTATTATCATAGGGTTAAAAATAATGAGTTGTTCCATTTATTAAAAGGAATTGATGAATGAGCTTAATTGATGATGGAACAAAAGTGAATCTATCATATCTTTGGTTCTATTTTCTTCTCAAAGTTTTATTTATTTTACCGATAGCAACTGCAAGCGTTTGGAGAGATTTTTAGATTTTGGCTCATTCAAGAACAAGTTTCAAAATTGAATATGTGATATGTTCGTGAATGATTGATTTGGTCAGATTACACACTTTTATACCCCTTGACTTGCAATGTTTAATGTGTTTGCACTATCCTTGGAGTTAGTTTATGCGGGGTTTGCAAAACGGTCAAAAGTGGAAAGATCACAGTGGCTGAGCAATTATAACGGGCATAGACTGGGAAGTGGACCAGCAAACCGTGAAGTTTGCACACTCCCATGAGCCTTTGGATGTCTTGCAGATAGTGTCAAGATCACGGTCCCCAAACTGCGATGCCAACAAGCAGCCTGTGAAGTTTGTTAGTGAAACAACACATTTTGAGTGGAGATCACGATTTCACTATCGAATTCACGGGCATGATATGAGACCGTGATATGTGCACTCGAGAGCTATATAAAAGAGAGTGAGCTGATTTAAAAAGGGAGAGTTCTAGAATCTAGAGAGAGATTGGAAGCTTCTTCTTCAAGGCTTAGAGAGAGAGACCTACGAGCTAAGAAGGAAGGAAGGAGAACTTCACCTACCCAATGCTAGAGGGAGGTAGATTTATTATCTAAGGATTGCATCAAACATCTAGGAAGAGGATGAAGCACTTTGCCATGGTTTTCTTCTGTATTCTAGGTGTATTTGCTCTTTTAGCTATGGTTCTCTTCTAGCTATTGAGTAGAGGGAGGTAGATTTCTTCTCCAGGATTGAATCAAGCATATATGAAGAGGAGGAAACACTTTTCCATAGTTATCTTCTCTATTCTAGGTGTATTTTCTCTTTTAGTTATGGAGTATTCTCCTATTTCACTTGGATGTTGTGAAAGGATGTGTTAGATTGTAAGATCTGAACTCTTATGTATTGGGTTTGTGAGATTTCTTGCACAAATGTAGAGAGCGGATTTGCAAAATATCTTCGACCAAAACCCTAAACCCCTGTCCATCTGCCTATATAAATAGGGGCTACAACTCATCTTCTTCCATATCCTCTTATCTCACTCACCGGCGGACCCGATCTGAAAGGTAATAGCGATAGCTTCAGCTTGATTCCCTTTTCCGTGTTCTTAGTTTCTCGCCCGGTCTAGTTCTGTTATTCTTATCTCTCGTTTTTAGTAGTACTAAAGCACATATCGAAGGCTTGCAAGAGCATCCTTTCGTTGAACTGTGAGCTCAAAGCTTGTGCAATATCAATCAAACTATCTGTCAATCTCAAATCCCCACGACCAGATTCCGTCTTTCTGCTCGAGGGTTGTTTGTTACTCCTGGATTGATGAACAGATTTGTTTAACTTGATTGTTTAATGGATGTGTAGATGTTAGTATGCGAGTTCCTGGTTTCGGTTATGGATAAAAGCCAATTTGCAGAGCAAGGGCGTCGATAATGGCGTCACTTGCATTGAAGGTTGGCCATAAAAACAAGTGATTCTCCGTGCCTATCAAAATTTTCCCCATTTTGACTACGGCCTCGAACAAATTGCGACATTACTTTATCATACTTAAATGGCTTAATAAATAGTTAAGGGTGTTAGATTAGATCGCCAATTTGCAGAGCAAGAGCGTCGACAATGGCGCAACTTGCATTGAAGGTTGGCAAGAAAGAATTTAGCGATTCTCCGTGCCTGTCAAATCTCTCTGTTTTGAATACGGCCTCGAACAAATCGCAACATCCTCCTTGGTTGTCTAAAGTTCTGCGTTTTTCCCCCACTTCACCTGCTGTCTGCTTTTTTGTTGTATGAATTGTGTGTAATTGATTCGATTCCTTTTATACCTATTTCAGGACTTGAGTAAATTGGGTTCAACAAGATGTCGAAGAACCCGAAGGTCTTCTTTGACATAGTGATAGGTAAGATGAAAGCAGGCAGGGTAGTGATGGAGCTATTTGCCGATACAGTCCCCAAAACAGCAGAGAATTTCCGAGCACTTTGTACTGGGGAGAAGGGCATTGGGAAAGCTGGGAAGCCACTCCATTACAAGGGCTCTTCTTTCCACCGTATAATCCCCAAATTCATGTGTCAGGGTGGAGACTTCACCAGAGGGAATGGGACTGGTGGGGAGTCCATCTATGGGGAGAAGTTTCCAGATGAGAATTTCAAGCTGAAGCACACTGGACCTGGCATCCTGTCCATGGCGAATGCAGGGTCGAACACCAACGGCTCCCAGTTCTTCATTTGCACCGATAAAACCTCGTGGCTTGATGGTAAGCACGTGGTGTTTGGCCAAGTCGTGGATGGATATAGTGTTGTGCAGGAGATGGAGAAGGTTGGGTCCTATAGTGGCACCACTTCAAAAACTGTTGTTATTGAGGATTGTGGTGAGGTTGATGGGTGTGAGTGAGGCTATTCAGAGTGTTTTTGAGCAGCACCAGGGCTCAGATGTTGACAGATGTGCTTCTTTTGGTTGCATCATTGTTTTTCTTTATGTGATCTCTGGATCAAAGCATGAATGGTGTATGCAAGCATCTTACTGTAAATTCTTTACTTGTGAGTTGTGACTCTTTTGACTATTATGAGTAACTATATGGCTTGATCCCTATTTTACTGCGTTTCGCCTCGAGGTTGACCTTAGCAACCTTTGCTTGCTTTCTTCTCCCTGAGTCAAAACTGAATGTATAACGCAAGCAAACTTGGTCTGGGTTCTTCCCACTCATGTACAAGTATGATGTATGTTGCTTTTCTCATGATACTTGAGCCTACGTGTACGATACAGATTGAGTAATTCAAAAGCAGTAAAATAGGGATCAAGCCATATAGTTACTCATAAAGAACAGTAGTGCTACCTTCATCCCCTAATCCTCTTGATCTTCTTCCAAAGCAGTGAACTGTATGTCAATAAGCTAGCTGTGTCAATTCCTTTTCATCTTGCTGATCACATGAAACCCAGTTACTGTGTTCAATAGACTGCAAATCATGGACTATGAAATCCTACTCCACCTATAGCACAAATTGTTGTTGTAATTCAGAGAATCAACACAAAAGATTAACAAAATAGCAGTGACTAATACGATTGGTCGGTTGTTGTCAGTAATTCAGATTTTGTTAAATAACGCTTATGATTCCTGACCCCTTTTGGACTCAAACTGTAATTCAGATCTAGGTGTCTTTCGCCTAGGGTTATGAGAATGGGATCAATGGAGAATTGGGAATTTTGAGAGAATAAGAGATTGAGAATAGAAAAAAGAAAAGGGAATTTGGGAAGGAAGGAAGAAGAAAAAATCGGTCTCTCCAGTAGGGGGTGGCCGCGAGATTGATGAAGAAAGGGGGAAGGGTATCCAGGGTCCCTGTTTCTGCTGCTGGGACCGCTCTCCCTGTCAGAGTCGTCGCCATCGATCCAGATGTAGTATCAGGTCCTGTGCTTTTGGCGACAACTTTTTGGAAACGCTCGACTCTTCCCCTCGAGCTTGTCAGCTCCTCCTCCTTACGCAACGTGAGCCTGAAGCCCACTCGCAAGTAACCGGGTTCAAACACCTTCACCTTTGCTGATAACTCCAGCCTCATACCTAAAAGTCATAACCAACTAGAGTTTCCTCCAACATTCCCTTACACATGTTCCAAAGCCCCACAAACTCTGAGCAATACTCTGCCACGGCCCACGGTGTCAGACTGTCTGAGCTAAACCAGCTAGTGCAACATCCATCCCTCAGAAGTGGGAAGTCAATGGTCGGGGGCCTAACTCTAAAAACCAGTTCACCCTCATAGAGTTATCACAGCCATACTTGCCAATGTCGTTGTGGCACTAGAGGTCTCCTTCTCTTAAGGTACATCCTCAGTCTTTCCTCGGTTGACTGTCGAAGCCTGTAACACTGTAGTTCATGTTTACACTACTTTTATCAAAATGCCCTTGATAAACCGTGAATCAAAGTAAGAACTTAAAGAAAATAGCGAAAAGTTTTCACAAAATTCTCAATAAATACTGAAAGTAAACAGTCATTACTTAAAATAAAGCCTTAACACTCGGGCAAGACTCAAACCATAAAAATCTTGATCTCCGCTTCTACTTAGGTAAAATATAATAACTAAAAACCTACACGACTGCTTGCTCCCTCGGATCTGATCCCTAATATCTCCAGTAACGCTCGTACTGTCCTCCTCTAGTTGACTGGTCTTTAGCTGGTCGCTCTCCATCTGGTTGCTCCCTCCCTCGAATTTTGGGATTTTTTAAGAGTTCTCGTGAAACTGGGAACTTCTATGAAGTTTGTGGCTCAACTTCCATCAATGATTAATGATGATGCGGGCTAGGAATTGCTTTGGCTTGAAGTACAAGCAACAAGTTTCGAGGATCCTATCACGAATGGGATCGATCAGTACAAGAAAGATGGAGATTTCTGGGACGAGTTGCCCACAATGGAAAAGAAGCAGCTAGCTTACCTCGATCCTTTGGGTAAATGCTGGCGATGTTTCTTCTTGCATGAACAGACAAGCTTTGAGGGAAAAGTTTTTTCAACTGGGAGGACATTTGAGTGAAGCTGGGACTCAGTCGTCAAAGTCCAAACCTTGTTCAAGAGCGTAAAGGGATTGGTTGAGGTCCAATGAGCTGGGAGGACCTCAAACGAGCAACCTAAAGATCGTATGGGACTTGCCTCGTTTACTTGCATTGGAAGTCATCTTACTTATTATGGTTCCTTCTTTAATTCAGTATCTTTGTTAGACTTGTTTTCTTTATTGGTAGTATAATGTGTTTAGAGTAGCATCATTCTATTTAAAGGTCTAATCCGAGTTGTAAGAATCATATTTTATCAATTGAAATTCAAACCTAGTTCATAGAGCTTTGCTCGTTGACTTAATCCAACTACCACAATAAAACCCCGGACTAGAGCCCAAGTATAAATTCTAGTAGGGTGCGACATAGGGTAAGCGTTTTAAAATGTCAACCAGGTCCGGTCAATGTACCCCTACTTCAATCGTTTAAAAAGTTATTTAGCAATCGATATTTAGTGAAAACTAAGGTCTACAATTTAAAACATGCAAGAAGGTAAATGGTTTTAGAATCTATATGAGAAAGCTTCATCCGGGTATTGCTCCCCCTAGCTATATACCAAGATTGACCGAATAGAATGCCAATGTGTAGGAATGTGCTCATACACTATGAGGAGAGCGCAACTAGTAAAGAAACTTCGCTCTCTTGGGTGATACCAAGGCACAACATTTGAAGCTAGAAAACTATCTCTCTTGGCCGCTCAACCAAGGGTTGCTAAGGATGCTCCCTCAGAACTTAATCCAGACGACAAGATAACAACCAGATCGAAGTGTTAAATTGAAACTTGAGGCTTACCATAAATTTCCCTAGGTGGGTGACACAAATGGCCAGAAACCCAACTTCACGAAGCCTTCTAGCAAACAATGGTGTTTCTCTCCACTTAGGTTAAATTGGCATGGTAATGAGAAATGAAGAACACATCTCGAGAATTCTGAAAATACCTCAAATTTTATATTAAACACAAACCCACACACATAGCATTTAATCCATACAATCTATCACATATCTAAAGCTAGGGTTTACAATACCCAAGTGAAAAAGAGTACTACTCCATAGCTAAACTAGAGATTACAACAAAGAGAAGAGGATGAACCATGGTGTGGTGTGTGACTTCCTTCCTTGTTAGCAAACCCTAGAGCACCTATTATCTCTTGGTTCGTCGTTTCTCTCTCTAAAATCTGAGCTAGAAGAAGGCAATCTCTCCCTAGGCTCTCCCTCAAAGTTTCAGTTCCATCCTCCTTTTATACCCAGATCGCAAGCACTTCACGTTCTCATATCACGGCCGTGATATGGAAGCTCAGACCATGATCTTGGACAAAGTGCGTCATTTCATTTAAGGTCTACACGATCTGGGGAGATTATCACGGTCTGGCGACCGGTGATGTTGTTTAGGTCCTTGAGGCACAAAAACTCTTCTTTTTCCATGTTCTTCACGGTATGGGCCTCCTTATCACGATCGACCTGACTGTGATCATTCTTTATCTACCATGATCCTCACCTTTTTGCTCCCTTCAATCCTCTTTCATCCTCTTTTGTTCAACTTTCGCTCCTAAGGCCGATCTCACCTTCTAAAACCTGAAACATGCTGAAAACATGCACAACCTAGCGTGAAATCGAACCTCAAGCGATGCAAAATCCTCAAACACCTAAAAAACATAGGGTGAAAACATGTAGAAATAGACCCAAATCACTTGTGAAAATTGCTCTTGTGCTCGGTCCAAGATGGCTACGTTCCGATATCTGGAAGAGAAGTTGTTGGAAAGTTTACATGGATGGAAGCAGAAGTTGCTCTCGTAGGCGGCTAAGGAGATGCTAATTAAATCAATTGTGTTTTCTCTACCACTACATGTTATGTCTTGCTTTAACCTTCCTCTATCCCCCTATTGCATTCTGGATAAACATATGGCCATATTTTGGTGGAGGTGGAAGGGGGTCGTCCACGGATTCGTTGGGTCTCCTGGCGAAATATGTGTAAAAGTAAACATATTCAGAATGAGCTCTAGGGCTCTATTCATCATTCTAGTTGGATCGCCTATAGGCACCCACATCCTCCTCCTTGTACCCCTCTTGCAATTTCGGAGGGTAGTAATCCTAAGGTGGCAGAGGTGATGGTTCTCGCGCGGGGAGGGGGTGGGGAGGAATGTTTTCGTACATAGTTTTTGCCATCACAACACTCCCCTTATCCCGTTGGGGGTTAGATGATACATTGGTATGAAATGATACGTGTGATGGGGTGTTCACTGTCAAGTCTGCATATCACTTTGCGGTTTTGGTGGATAGATATGTTGGGGACTGGCTACCCACAGTAAGTTGGATTCATAGAGCAAGTTGGATTCAAATATGGGATCTCAACATTTCGCTTAAATTAAAACTGTTCATGTGGCAAATTTTCCATTGTATTCTTCCTACCACTGAATCTCTAATTGAGAAAAGGGTCCAGATTGCCTCGCTGCCTGGTGTGTTGGGCGGAATCTGAAAGGATGGAGCACCTCTTTTGGGAGTGCCCAATTGCTACAGCCCTCTAGACTCACTCGGGTTTGGAGCATCTAGGACAAGGGTTGTCGCATCAGACATTCCCTCTTTTTCTAAAAAAATGCTAGCTTAGGATGACCTAACCGACCCAGATTATGGATTTGGTTGCGCTCTTATGGCATATTTGGAATCAAGTGCCTTTGCAGCAGAATCTTGAGGTGGAAGATTTGTCCTTTGTTATATGTATGTGGGATGGTGCGGTCTGTGTTGACTCACATTCAGCAGCTGATCTTAAAGGATAAAGGAGGCTCTGTTGTCTTAGTCAGAGGGTTATTTTTTGAGAATATTGTTGACCCTCTTGTGGTGGAGAATATTGTCCTCCGTAAAAA